TTTTTGATTAGCAAACATATAAAAAAATCGATTTGGTCGAAAACTGGTTTTGCGTAAAAATTCCTGTTTTTCTGCTATCTTTTTTTTGTTTTTCACGACTTTTTTAAAAACTGTTGGAAAATGTTAAATTTTGACCTTTATAATGCACCAAGGATATTCACTTTTACATCGGAAACCACCTCCAAAGTTTGAAATTGAAGCATTATTTCGACTAGTTATGCTGTACACAGACACAAAAACGAAAAAAAAAACACACATCATTGTAAAATCAATACGTTCATCACTTCGTTCAGAATCTAAAATCAAAACTAAACCAAATAACATCGTTATAATAATTTGTAGGTATGTTATGTTAGACTGTCCTTTTATTATAAGATTTCAGTTGTCACTGTATAAAAGGATAGTCCGATAGTTAAATAGTTAAAATCAAAATTAATTGTCAACATGAATTCTTAACACGCCATGACACACTGACGTTTTCAACTCCGGAATTGTAGGCCAATAAGCACAAATGATTTTTAATCAATGATAATACTGATACAAAAAAATACGGGTTGCCAAAGTGTAATAAGCTCAAGACTGCTGATAGGTATTATACTTTTATTTATTTATTTATTATTGTATCTACTTAATTTTAATTCTCAATAGTATCTTAATGAATTTTATTAAATTCGTAAAAAAGATCATCTAATAATGAATTATAATATACCAAATAAAATCAACCACGGTTAATAATACTATGATCAAAATGATCTGTACCAACGTGATTGAGTGTATAGGATGTGCAATAATCAAAACTCTACAGCGTATAAAAAACAACGTAAATATAATTCTCACTAAACAAAGTACAAGGGGAGGGGGTAAATTGGGTCAAATAATATTAGTAAATAGTAAAACAATTTATATTTTGCTGTAGTAAAACACTTAATTGAAATGATAAAATACCATTAATGTCTGTTTCTATATTATCACGTATAAGGAAAAAAATCGTATACCGTAAAAGAATTGAAAAATAATATAATATTATATAATTAGCTAAAATCAGTGTAATGTGTAATGACGTCTACTGTCGTCTATAAATAATATGTAATCGGTGTACCTACCTATACGTATAGTGATTTCGATCGCTCTTACTTTTTAGTACACTTAATGCGATCGCGATAATATTATTAAGACGTATAGCCGTATAATAGGCACTACGCTGTCGCAACAATATCGKAGATGTCATCAGCTTACAGTCCTGTGCGCACATTCACATAATACGTATATTATCAAATATCAATATCATATCCACCGTTTCAGTGGACAGTGATTTAAGATGGACTTTTTGCTAAACGATTTATGCTACCCAAGTTTTGGCGTCGACCGAAGCGAATTGAATTTTATAGAGTTATAACAATAGTAATAACAACATACGGCTTCAATATAGCAAAACAATGGGACGTAAACACCATTATGGCTGCGGGGTCGATCACGACAGGTCTYTAACATCACTGGTTGCGCACGCCGTATGTGGCCGCGGTGTGTTTATCTTGCACAGTGTATTAAATAAAAAAATATTCATCGCGTTTATCGCGTAGAAATTTACGTCGGTTTCCTCCTGGCGACTGCTGYAGTGAGCTTAAAATGCTTTGCGACCGGAGGGTTGGCCACGAAAACGTCTATAGAGATACGATGATAAGAAATGGATCGAGAAATTTTATTATAATACAGCCGCTTAAGTTGTATAAGAACACCAATAGGCAATAGACGTAAGTAATAATAATATAGTAGATATACGACAAAGTACTCGTATAGTTATAACTATAACTTATAGTTTATAACTATACAATATTATAATATATATCTTACATGAGGTACTCAGGTACGCAATAGTATATAAGCGCCGCAATTTAGCTTAGAAATAATAGTACACATCGGGTAGGTTGTAGGTACCTAAGTTATAAAGGTATACTGAACGGTACAGGGTGATCTATTTGAAGCAAGACATTTATTATTGTTTTCGAAAATATTTCTTGATATAT